CGACTAGAGCCATCTTCGATTCTCCCGACCGTAGACTTTGGCATGCCAAATGTAGAGCTACGAGACCAGTTGAACAGCCCGTATCCACCGTCAAACTGGGTCCTCGAAGATCAAAGAAGTGGGAAATGCGGTTGGAAAACATGGCAGCACCGTTTCCTGTTAAAAAGTACCGGGGGATATTGTCGGCATCTTGCATCAGGCTGTCATGGTAGTCTCTAAAACACGCGCCAGAGAACACAGACGTTGAGCTCCCAGCCATCTGTGTGATAGTGATACCCGCTATCATAAGCTTAGCACGGGTTGGCTGCAACGAGAATCAAATTTGCACTTACCACTTTCCATAGCTTCGTAAACAGATTCAAGTTGCATGCGGAGTTGCGGATCCATGGCCTATAAAGCTTAGATTCTCATTTTCTATGTTTTAATCTGCTAGAACATACATTTGCTACTTCGGAGGTAAAGTTGAAGAACGAAGCATCAAAAAGAGATACATCTTCTTTAAGAAAGTGAGCCCCCTTTGCGTTAGTCTATTTAAAATATGTCAGATATAGGTAGGTCAAAGCTGAGAGTAGGCTTAGGCTTTTACACTGCCTATCTTGTCTCCCTGTGGGTGATAGAATCCCTCCAAGTTGAAGCGGGCTTCCTTTGTTTGCGACAAAGTATTGCGGCCATCGGCACATACCTGCCACAGCTTCTCCGGTGTAGTTACATCCCCGGGAAATTTGCAACTCATTCCAATTATGGCAATCGGCATGGTTTTAGGTGGAGCCATCATAGAAGTCATTTTTTCTTTCTTGTAATGGATTGTCTCTAGGAGGAATTGGTGAATTTGTTTGATTTGAGAATATTAAACTTCAAAAGCCGGGAATCGCTATATGTTATATCCTTCTAGCTAGGTTCTAACAAACCATTCTAACAAATCCGATCTACGAGACATGAGAAATCTAGAGAGATCAGCGAGACCGAAGGCTCCCCAAACAGCACGCCACATTCTAAGTTTCAAGAAATTATTAGCCACCAATACATCATTAGTTGGGTGATGCAATGGGGCAACACGGTGGTAATTTTCTTCAAAATTCGAATTAAATAATGAGGGAACCTAATGTACCTAGCTTGATGCAGTACTTGGTCATGCTTTGATGCATATGGAATCAGGTATGAATGACTTCGTTCTGTGGTCAAGCTTGGTTTGAGGACCGCGAGTTGCCTCTCCTACTGCAGATCAGTGATAACACTATACGTCTATGGAAGGTCGTACACCTTAGATAGGGCAAGTAGGCGGATGAAAGGCCTTCTTTGTGCTACCTCCTAGGATGGCAATATGATCTCTAACCGTTCAAAATCATATATAAAACTATCTTTGGCATCGGTATTTGTAAAATGTATCTTGCTATTTAATAGCACTTACATTTCGTTTATCTCCGAAACACCTTAGTCACATTTTACTATTCACTATGTCGTCTATTGCAGAAACTCGCCAGAGCTTGGTTGGGACTTGGTCTCTAGTTGAATATAAGGCAGTACGAGCTGATAATGGCTTTATCAGCCACCCGATGGGCCCTAAAGCTCAGGGCTTCCTCATTTACAGTCCTGAAGGATTTGTGTCCGCCTATTTGATGGAGCCGGAAGCTCTAGAATTTTCAGATGCCGAGGTTGGAGGAGGTACGAAGGACGAGCTCTATCGAGCTATGAAGCATTACCTTGCGTACTGCGGTCGCTTTGAGCTAGCAGAATTGGATGGTGTAGTTCTCGTGACGCATCATATGGACGTTTGTTCGTTTCCCAACTGGCTTGGTAGTGCACAGGAGCGTGTCATCAAGTTAACGGGTAACTTATTGGAGATTAATACAGCCGAGCCTGTTCTATATGGTGTAAGTTTTCTTGGTATCCATTATTGGATCCAAATTATTTCTAAATAAAGCTCACACATGTGATTTCTAGGGGCATTTTCAGCACGGGTCTCTAGTATGGCAAAAGTCTTAGCCTACATTTGATGTTTGCTGGGCTAATTGGGATGCTCATTTCCTTTGACTAAGCACAAATAGAAGCTGCCACTTCCTATATGTAAATATTTTAAACTAGCCCTAGCCTTTAGAACAACAAAGTCCGGGAGCTTGGAACGCTGATATATGTAACATACACTATAGACATGTGAATATAGGATAAAAATGCATTATCGCATCTATCACGTATTACTACGCTGAGCCTTTTTCGTAAGTAAATAGAGCGCTCCGTCGATCCTCCCTTATTGGTAACTGCCCCAGACGTAATGTAAACCGAAACATTAGGTGGGTTATTGCGACCACGCAGTCAACCCAGCATAAAGCCCCACGTGGTGAACACCATATATTTAAGTTGAATGTATTGCATAAGATCCAAGAGACGAATCTATCAGTATGGGGTGTGGCACAATGCGTATTGCTCTTCTAACGTGCGGCACACCGTGGTTAATCTCATCCAGAAGGGGAATAGAGGGGTTCATTTCATATAGCACAATTCGACCTCCAACATTCATAAACAATACTTCCACTTTTGACCTATGTATATTCTTTGAATATAGGTTCGTGAACCACTTCAATAAGCGTTGTTTTATCGCCGCTCCCGGATCATCATCGGCGCCCCGGGTGATCGCCGTATTCGATTGGATTTGATACATTGCATTACATTAGCGGTTACGCAACAGTTTTTCTCGCCTCCCTCTTTTTTAAGAATGCAAAATTGGGGAATGATCGTAGTGGTACTTTGGTAGCAAAAACAAAAGACAAAGACAAATAGAGATAATAAAGGAAAGGAAAGAAAGACTATTTCTAGGTCCTTACCTATAAAACACGTGAGGTCGCATATACATTCTACCTACTCTTATCTTTTAACAACCAAGTCTGTTTCTCTAAATAAGCATTTTAAGTTCTGGTATTTCAAGCTGCAATCTTGATGCAAACAAAGCAAATTCCTCACAGCTTTAAGCCTTATAGGCCTAACTAATATACCTTCAAATCGCGACTATGTGGAATTGATAGCGTCATCTATCACCACTTTACCCAGCACCAATACAAAATCGTACTTAGTGTCATGGTAATGTCATAGTTCATGTGATGGCTGTTAAAAATGCTATAGAAATATCATAATAATTTACACAGGCTCTTCGATAATAGTGACCACTGACGGACAAACCTAAAGTAGCTTAGTGGTCGCAAGATAAAATCGAGTGTCCGTAGCCCTTCTCATCTAATTATTTCAAAAGCTGTAAATCCGAAGTCACTGTATGAGGCCAGCTATGTCTAACAAAGCAACGTTCATGTATTTTTGGTCATGTGGCTTTGAGCTTTGACAGGCAATCAGAGATCTCGACATTCTTGAACGGTTTACAAGTCTTAAAATTGAAGCTTTTCATCTCTATACAAATGGTAGTATCTCCATGTTTTTACACTTGTAAACCACCTAGAATATGGAGATCAAAAGCTTCATTTTTGACACTTACAATCCATAGGAAGTCGAGATCTCTCCATTTGTATGCTAATCAAAAGCTTCATTTTTGAGAGTTGTAAACGCCAGAAAAATCAGGCTAAGGGTGCACCCTCTATCTTCCATCTTCCAACTTCGCTCCAGTCTTCCATCTGTGCCATCGTCGTCTTCCCTACTGTTCGAGTCTACGAGAGTAGATAATATCATATAGGATGATATGAATCAAGCAGGTTGGTGTTGACCAAGCAAGGTGATATAGACCAAGCAAGATGGTATAGAGGGTAGTTACTACAGGAGGAACTACTAAGTTAATTAAGAAAGGAAGTAGGGAGAGGCTATGCTTAAATACTACAGGGAGGTCATGTGACTATGAAAGATCTCAACACCTACGACAGATTCAATTGGCATTATTGTTTCCTAGCTAGTTAATTCGGCATATTTGTTGACTGTAGCTGGGGTTCTAGTTCTCCACCTTCGTTGTTCATGGCTCATAACCATCGTCTTCCACACCCAGATCTATAACCGCGAGGCCCAGTCTGTCGTCATCTTCGTCCAACTCAACACAACTGAATCGCAAGAAGAGACTTGTTTATTACATAAATTTAGCCATATAGCGGGTGACCTGCGGGTGCTATCCTTTCTCCTTATAAGTATTCTGTCAGAAGGAGACTATGATGAAGTGCATTGTGCGATGTGAGATTGATTGAGAGTTGTCGTAAAAAGCTAAGAGCTAAGTGCTAAGAAACCTGACATATTCCAACCCACAGATCTCTAACAATTTTTTCACCCTACTAAGAACCTCCTCTCATTGTGGCCGTTCTAATTGTTCGTGGAGCTTATACCTATGTCTTTCTCTCACTCTCTCTCTCTCTCTCTCTCTCTCTCTCTCTCTCTCTCTCTCTCTCTAATCATTCCCCTTTTTCCATCTGATTCATAAATATTCTTCACCCTCCTACACCTACGTACCTCTCTCTATACACCAATCCGGAGATCTCTAACACTTTCATCACCCTATTAAGAATCTCCTCTCATTGTGGACGTTCTAATTGTTTGTGGAGCTTGAAAAGAAAATATCTCTCCTTTAAATCATTTCCCTTCTCTCATATCACTGAATCACCTACATTCCTCATCATCCTGCATCTACGTACCTCTATACGCCAATCCCGAGATCTCCAACACTTGATCGTGCCAAAAATCTCCAAACTACTCGATATCCATTCCTATACAGTCTCCCAGTCTCTATAACAGCACTTGGCGAGACGGCTGTAAGTCTATAAGAGCCTCAATGTATGATTCCATGACACTAATATAGAAGCGCAGTACCACACACAGCCAATACTAGCTTCCTACGTAGCGAATATTGTACCCGGGAGCCGAGAGGTTGATGTTGACCATCTCTGGACAAACCTCCTCGCATATTATTTCCCAACCTTGGGAAACTACGGAGTTGAACGGAAGACTTATATCCTTTCCGATCACAGAATAGGGCAAGCGTTTGCCTGAGTACCCTAATTCGTGGTTCAATGTCCAATGTGATCATGGTGGAGAACAAGAAGGCCTCCATGTCACAATCTGGTTCTCTGCCACCTAGTTCCTGGGCTCATGCAGAGCGTCAGCTCTTGGAATATATGCTATCCCGTCGTGACAATCAATTGCGGAACCTTCCAGATCTATTTGGAATAGTAGATATTGGAAGGTACGTATGTTAAGTTCTTTCAACTCCAACAAGAAAAGATCGAGCTTGATGATTATCGAGGTGGTTTGACCTACCACTTGGAAACTGATAACTTGGCTATTGAGCAAACGATTTTAGCGATGAAGGGGTATATCGTTAGATATCGTTGACTTGACATAGTTCACAGTTTTGTTTCATGTTGCTTTTGCCCCCCATTCTTTTTGTTCCCGTTCGGTTACTTTCGCACCTTGTGTATAACATATTTGAAAAAGGTGTAAGATGTGCAAAACGGCTTTTTTGTGTAGTACAACGTGTGACCAAAAGCCAAATACATAATTGGCCAATGTATAAAATGAATGCATTCATTGCTGGGGCTAACCGCCCCGGGCCTTTCGTAAGGTATGTAGAAGCATTCTAAAACTTGGTCCCCCAAGCCCATCCTTTACAAATGCCACGAGATACGACGAAGGCAATGGTGGATGTAATATAGAGAACACCTCCAAAAATAATCAACCCATAGTACTCCCCATTGTTGTGCTGCTGAATAGCGCCTGCAATAGGGAGTGCGATGAGGGTGCCAAAGGAGACCAGCGTCCATGTAGTTCCAACTCTCTTTCCATAATCTTGGATTTCACAGACCTGAGAAATGCAAACAGGTGCAATACTGATAGCTGAGCCACTCCAGAAGCCGAACAGCACAGCGTACCCAATGACAATTCCCAAGCTTTTAGGCTCGACTAGATCCCCGCAAAGCCAAAGAATGAGAGTAAAGAGTGAACACATTAAGCAATTCACGATCATAACGTTGAACCGACCCATCCGGTCTGCCACCAGTCCTGGTAGGAAGCGTCCAAACACAGCACCAAGATTAAGAAAGACAAGAATCGCATATGACAACTGTTCATCGAAGCCAGAATGAAGTGTGTAGGAGGTGATGTATGTGATTGGAATGAAAGCGGCAAATTCAGCAAAGAAGACAGCCAGCGTCGCAGATCCGTATTTGATATCTTTGAGGGCCTTGAAGTCGAGGGATGCAACGGCTTTCTTGGGAGGAAGTCTGGTTCGGAGCGTGAGGCATGCAATTGAGCACAGCAATGCACATACGAGAGCTATAATTCGGATTGCCCACGCAAATCCGATGCGAGGAGCTACAAAAAGAATTATCAAGGGAAATATGCAACCCCCAACGCCACCCGCTGTGCAGGCCACTCCAGTTGCCCAGCCACGTCGAACATTGAACCAATGGCCAACAGCAGCCAAGGGAGGTGTGAAAAGTGTGCTAGCTGATATCCCTCCGAGGACGCTGAATGATAAAAATATCTGATAATACTCTTGTCGACAGTTAGACTTTATTTCTTTGGCGGTGAGTGCATCCGTGGTGAAGGTATTGCAACAGGAGAGACACGAATAGATATTAGGAACATACCCTGACTGAAGCTCAGAAAAATCAAGGAAAGTACTATTCCAATAGAGCCCGGGAGCACTACATATAGAGGTCCGTGAGAATCAAGGACTGCACCTGATGTTACAGTTAGTTTAGACTGGATTCAATATGGGAAGATTCTTACCAAATTGTGCACCCCCTAAGAAAAGGAAAAATGTGTAGGTTCCATAGATCCAACCAATACTTGACTCGGAATAATCCTTGAGCTGGTGGGTACTTGTCCAAGGTTGCAGAGCTCCCAGGCTGTTTAAAAGTCCCATAGAGGGAATCATGGCACACCAAGCCCCAAGAACCACAGACCATGCCTTCGACCCACCTTCGGGATATTGGTCATGGTCCGACTCAACCGATGCAATTTGAGGCGAATCACACCCTTTAGAGTCGATTCCCTGCTGCATTTTCAGGATAATAGGAGGGAGAATAGTTGGCTTTCCAAATGGAATGTGAGAAGGTTGTATGTATACTTTCGAATTGGATATTGAAGTATATAATCTGAACTGCCATCGAGATCTTAAAGCTTGTCAGGTTCTGAGTTTCAATTTCTCCCAAATTTCCCCCAAATTTCCCAAAAAAAGCCTTATCTTTGAGAAAACGGCCCCACTAAATGCTTTAACGCAAAATGGCATGTAGTGGGTCTATATATCTTATTAAAAATGAAGGCTTATGCTCTCAGCTTTAAACGTCATGGACGTCTGGTTCTGACGATCGGTTTCGTTTCGCGAGAATATCTTATTCTAGAAGCACTTGGAATTGGAGGCACATGATGCTACCCTGGGGTTGTCTGTATAGACTGATAGACTTGAGGATGTGACGGAATTAAGGGAGCTGAGAAGGGGCGAGATGTAGGGTAGAAGAGGGTTTGCGCTCCAAATTGACCTACCATGCCTTGCAGACGGTCGCTTGCGAAGCGAAACTATCTTCTTTTGGGAAGAAAGTGTATGGGTCAAAGTTCCAAGGCAAAGCTAAAGAGTTATGTTGAAACAGTGAGGATTAGCGGTGCGCTAATCTCCAGGAGAAATTATCCGTGAAGAATTTATAAGTAATCAATAGGGGCGATTCAGAGTGTTATTATATCAACTCCTTATTTGGGGGCAGGACCCCTGCTTGTCCTTTGTTTCAGACGCAGATAATATTGTGTCAGTAGTATTCAAAAACCCTGTGTACACTCCCCAATTAGTAAACTGTCATATATGACTTAAACCTGCTTGAAACTCAGCATTTGGTCAAGTGGCTCTATCGAGCTCTGTATCTATATAGAACAGAGCACATCCATAATGCCAAACTGCGAAGTAAACGCATATCTTTGCCGATTTTCGCATCTCAAATTCGTCGTTCTTTCTCGTTTTGGGCTAGAGAAGCGCTGATTATATTCAATTAGGAGTGGCACTTGGTAAGCTATGGAGATATTCTCTGACCTCTAAGCCAAAGAAGTCAGTTTATCTATTAGCTTAACCCATTTTTGTAGAAGATGAAACCAGATAATCTCAATAATACATTAACTGGTATTGGGCAGATTTGAATGTGAAATTCTACTAGTTCATGAAGCAATACTGGATGAGACGACGTGTCCCCAGCTTTAACTTAAAAGCTGTCGATAGACTGTGAACCCAAAAAACGGTTGAGAGATCGGAAAATGGCAAAGCTGGTTTTAAGCAAGGACAAAAAAATATGGCCTGGAAGGTTTTGAGGTTATAACAAACACTTACATAAACGTCATATTCGTCTTGGATTATGTTCGCTCCCCTTTCTGTTGCATTCCTATTACTTAGACCTAACCGAAAGAGCTCTAAACGGACCTTTAAGTAACTATAGTCACTCTAACCTTAGACTATAATAACAATCTTCTTAAATCCATGCTGCTTAGGCCACCGGTGTTATAGAATACTAGTAAATTTCCCTTTAGAATGCCTCTTCCTCCCTACTCAATACGTTAAATGTAGAGGTGATATGAAAAATTGTGTCGGTTTTGATTTGCATTTCCACCGTTAATATCCTTAATTATTTTAGCCTTACTATATCAGACTAAATTTTGGAAGTAGTACTCCGTAAAGCGTTATATATGCGCGATAGGGTTAAATGGCTACTAAGGCCGGATTAAATCGTAGGCTTTAGTCAGCGGCAAGGAGCGCTAAGGTAAAATCATACCCGTTATTCTCGATTCCGATAGGGGTCATTAATGTACTGGATAAATTCAATCTGATAGTTCAACGGTTTACCCGAACGAATCATTATAGTTCGAGGATTTCCGGAAGTTCCCAGGGCTGAGTTGAAATGTCTCTGTGACCTCGTATTAGAGATAGTGTCTTTTACACATATAAAAAGAAAACGTCCGATATCGCGGAGACAAAGGGGATGAATCACCGGGGCTTGGCAAACCCCCACATATTGTTGGGCTTAACCTAAATAGGCTTAGCGTTGTCATTCGAAGGGCGCGCCGATTTCATTTTCGATGCATTTTTGTTTGGGATCATCCACTTCAAGCCCCCCTCTATTCACTTTGGTGTGGACTTCCTCGAATCAACTTCTTGAAGTTTAAGTTAGGCAGTGGATACTCCATGTGCTTCACCATAATTCCTCGTGACGATGATGCTTATCGTAAAAAAAGCCACACGGGGTTTGCCTTGGAGCGGTCCATGCCGAGTCACCGAGAATCTGTAGAATGGTGCCCACCTTCGATTCGAACGGAGCTCCACCCAATCTGATTATTCACCCATCTTTCTACCCCAGACCAAGGTTGTTTCGGTCAATTTTCATCTGACCGACTCTTCTCCTACTTTCCACCGTGTCCTTTATCATTCCATTATTCTGGTGCTAAGCTGTTCTCTGTGCAGCATTTCCTATTGGAATCGTTCACAGCATGGAGTATTTTGATTTCGAAGGCGCTTCGTCTGCCCATGGCTCTAATCAACTAGACGACGATGTCGCCTCGATTGATATTGAAATCGACGAAGCCGAAGAACAGGCAGCGAATTTGAACTCGCTGATTCATGATCAGACGTTGGAGTTCTCCAATGACCCGGTACCGGAGCAATCCGAAGTGAATGTCGGACAACCCATTGACCCCGTCGACCCCGACGGGGTTTACCCCATGTTCCGGGCCCAGGACCCGTGCGACTTTTGCCGGCGAATGGGACTGGACTGTTTCGTGGCAAAGCGCGGTACATTGAACTATGGTTGTACTTGCTGTATCTCTCTTTATCGTGAATGCAGTTTCACTCATGCCAAAACGCCGGGCAAGTTCCTCCAGACATTGCATAGTGTGTCAGAGAATGCCCACGTTCCTATAGGTAGCCTGACAGGAAAGAAAGCCCTCAAATCAGTTTCATACAACGCATATCCCAATGACCCAGATTCACGCTCTCAAAAAACTGGTGCTCGATTCCCGCGCAAGGCAATCAGCATCCTAAAGGGCTGGCTGAGAGACCACAACGAAAACCCATATCCTACCGAACAAGAGAAAGATGACCTGAAACAAGACACTGGTCTAACTCGGACGCAAATTGCCAATTGGCTCGCCAATGCCAGACGGCGCGGCAAAGTTCGTTCGTCGCCTGGGAGCAGTTCTCCCGTTCCAGGAGCTATGGACATACCCAGGAAGCAATCCGTCAACGTATCCCTCATGACGCCCCTTGAGCGTTGGAAGTACTCTCCCCCCGAAAACGAACCGGCTACAATTAGCGATATTACCCGTGCCCTGGCCAATCCTCCATTCGATCCCACGCGTCTACCCAGGGCCCCATCGAGTCACGTGAGGCCCCGTCGCCCTGGGTCTAGTAACAATGAGTCAAGCCATGCCAGCTCTGAACATAAACTGTGCACCGCCTCTGCCAGTAGTTTGGATTCATCTATTTCCGATCTATCTTTTGCTTCTGCCTTCTCTCATCGATCCTCTCTTTCCTTTGGCTCAATGGATCGCAAAGAACGTCGCCGTCGCCGCAAGACCTCGGTACCTGTCAATACCCTAGCCCATTCCAAGGCCAAATCTGCTCGTCCTTACCAATGTACCTTCTGTACCGACTCCTTCCCTGCTAAGTATGACTGGCAGCGGCACGAGAAGTCTATTCATCTAGTCTTGGACAAGTGGGCATGCTCCCCTCACGGTGGTGCAATTGAACAAAACGGTATACCGCTTTGTGTCTTCTGCTTGGCAGCTAATCCAGACGATGAACACCTAGAAACACATAACTTCATCAGTTGCCAAGAGAAGACAGTGCATGAGAGAACATTTTACCGGAAGGATCACCTCAACCAACACCTCCGCTTGATGCACAATGCCAAATTCCAACCCTGCATGGAGAAATGGCAAAGCAGCAATACAGATATTAAATCCCGCTGTGGATTCTGTGGCTCCATCTTCCAAACATGGAAAGATCGAGTGGACCATTTGGCCAGTCATTTCAAAAATGGAGCCGCCATGGCTCAGTGGCAAGGGGACTGGGGCTTTGACCCGCAGATTCAAGCTCGCGTCGAAAACGCCATTCCCCCATACATGATCGACTACGAATGGCGTTCCCCTGATCCATGGGCCACTGAGCAATCCAAGGGTGATGGTAGCAACCTTAGTCTTCCTGTTCCCACTGATATCAATTGTTACCATCGCCTTTCTCTCGAACTCACTACATACATCCATAACCAAAAGGCACAGGGTATTGTTCCATCAGATCAGATGATACAAGCAGAAGCTCGCCGTGTCATCTATGGATGTGACGATCCTTGGAACCAAACCTGCGCAGATAATATTGTTTGGCTGGGTGTCCTCAAGCGCGACTGTGGATTACAAACTCCTGTACACAACAATAGCATCCAATTTGCTGATTTGGGCATGCAGCCCCCATTCGCCATCAATGGCGGCCTCCGAGCTGCACCCCGGGAGATCAATGTGCTAGCGCGAGCAGTATGCCAAGGCGCTCCAACCCACAGCCCTGCGGTCTCTAGCCCTAGTCTTCGCAGCCACGGCTTCCCTGGCACCGGCTTCTCTTCTGCTGGGCCCAGCCGACCGGGGAGTTTATCAGGCAGTTACGCTGGTAGTGCAGGGATGATGTCTGCTGGTGCAGATCCATCCTACTCTACGGATTGGGGTAGCAGCCTCCCCACCACTGCGTCTGTGCCGGGAGAAGGCACAGCTGACCCTTTGGTACAAATGGGATTTGACCCGGAATTCCTACAACGACTGAATGACAGCTACGGCGAAATCAACCCCGATGATTTGGAAGGCTTGCGTCTAGATGGTGCCGATGGCCCAAAAAACCCCGAACAACAAGGATGGCCAAACAGAGGCTTACTTGGTCAGCCCATGTCCCCTCCTCTTATGGGTGAAGTGCCTGCGTCAGATCCAGTTGCTATTTTCAATTCCAAAGCAGGCCACCCTCCTGCGTCGGATGCCACCCATGATGATACACCGGGGTACTTTGGCAATAGCAACTTCTAATGCTTGCGATGGCCATTTAATTGCCCCATGTAGTATCATGCACGGCAAGGAAAAGTTCAAATTTACGAAATTGTTGGAATATTTCTTGTTTCATAGCATATATATGGAAGTTAATCACGTTTTCAACAATACTACAAATCAATTGGCGTTTTCTACTTATCATTTGAGATCTTTTAGCGCCATCCAGGCAGCTTCCACACCTCACTCTTGGGTGGTTCAATTTGGAATCCGACGCCCCTAGCTGCCTCGTATACCCACCCTTCCTCACCTAATTCTTTTGATTCATCCTGGAAATTGCGTATCTTGATTCAGTTATCAGCACGTGGCGTCCATGATAAGTCGGGGATTGAGGTTTCCGCCGACCCTTCTTCCATGAAACCTGACTTGTGGCTGGTTGACTCACAATCCGATGACGACTGAGACCGACAGCTCTTTGATCAGACCAGTGGTATTGATTGGCACTTGTGTGACATGCAGAGTACCGAACCTCTGGCCCAAGTCAGCTACTCCCATAGCCATGGAAACTTTACACCCAACATGCACCATTCGTCCCGGATACACTATCTCGGCAACGTGCCGAGACTGAAAGGGTTCCCTGTCTCAGACCTGGGCTTAGGGCTTCTAAGCTTACACATAAGCAGGTGCCAACAGCTTCCTCGGAGGTTTATCCCTACAGCACCGCCAAGCTACTTTTCGGGACTACCATCTCCGAAATGGGAATGGGTATCTTGAACTGTGAGTCCTTCATTCGCCCGGACTCATCCTGCTATTCCCAATCAAGTCCCTTGCTTCAAATAAAAGAATCCCGAGCTAATTCAGAACTTCCCTTCTGCCTATTCCCCGAAAGACTGGATTGGTTCCCGACAAAAGTATCGAGAGATTATTCCTTTACCTTGCGCCTATACGAGCTCAGAAGCCAAAGGCTCCCATGAAAATCCTGCATCTAATACAATATACCTGCATGAAAGATGCCTAGGTGAGATTGAGACGGATATGCCCATGCCACGAGTTTCCCTGGGCCCATATAAAGGGCGGGAATCCCGTGAAAAGTATGGGATATCAAGAGCAGGCCATTCAATTTGATATAGACCTCCAGTCTACTGTCATCTTTAGATATGAAGTTCTCTCTAGGAAGCATGTCCCTCTGGCTTCTATGCCTCGTCCAATGGGCAACTGCCGGTACGGTGTTCTTTCCAGTCACCTTGACATGGTCGGAAAGAACCGTCGCAGGAGTGACTAGGCCAGTGATTTCAATGAACGGCCAGTTTCCTGGTCCCCCGCTGCGGATCAACCAGGGTGATAATGTTCAGTTCCTTGTTGACAACCGGTGCCCGTTCAATACAACTATACACTTTCATGGTAAGCTCTTGGATAGCTTTATATTATTTGGCATCCACATACTTACTTGATATCTTCTAGGAATTGAACAACTGGGAACTCCTTGGTCTGACGGGGTTCCCGGCGTCTCGCAGAGATCCATCAGACCAAACACCTCATTCCTGTATAGATGGACAGCAACCGAGTACGGGGCCTACTGGTATCATGCGCATCACCGTGGCTCTCTCGAAGATGGACTTTATGGACCAATCTATATCACCCCCGCCCCAACAGTGGAAAAGCCTTTCAGTCTTATAACAACTGACCCCGCTCAGTTGGCGGCTATGATTCTTGCAGAAAGCGTGACTTGTCCCGTATTGCTTTCGGAGTGGCGCGTTCTTACGTCGGAGGAGATCTGGGCTGCCGAAATGGCCTCTGGCACAGACGCATTCTGTGCTAATGCTTTGCTCATTAACGGCAAAGGGTCCATCACCTGTCTGCCACGTGCCGAGATTGATGCCCTGACAACACCCGTCCAGAAAACGAGCCTCGGTGACGATTTGAGATTAACAGATATGGCGTGAGTAGATTGATCCGTTACGGTCCCATGGCTATCTTGATAACCCCGATCAATAAGCTAAATTCATCACTAGATGCTTCCCTCCCAACATCACTGAAACAGTATTCAATTTCCCACACAACTACGCTGCCATCCCCCCAACCATGTTCGAAGGCTGCATACCATCCCAAGGTCCCCAAGAGGTCTTCACAGTCAACGCAGCCCATAAGTATGTAAGCTGGGACCTCACCAGCACAGCTGGCCTGCTAGAGCTCACCTTCTCAATCGACGAGCACGACATGTGGGTATACGCCATAGACGGACGATACATTCAACCCCAAAGAGTCAACGCAGTCACCATCCCAAATTCAAACCGCTATTCAGTTCTGATCCCCCTCACCCAGCCAGCGGGAGACTACGCCATACGCATGGTCAGCGCCAGCATAAACCAGATCCTCAACACCACAGCAATCATGCGATATCACGGCGCGCCCGGACTAACACGCCCATCCAACCCATGGATCACAATCAACAACCAACCCGCCACGGCAAACACCGTCTTCCTAGACGAGACCCAGGTCGTCCCATTCCCGGCGCTGGTCCCTTCAAACAACATAGCACAAACCTTCTTCCTGAATATCGACCAAGTCGGCACCGCCTTCCGCTGGAGACTCGGTAATACCAGCTACGGTCTCGAGCTCGAGGAAGCACAGCCCTTGCTCTTCAACCAGAACTCTATTCCTCAAGACCTGATCATCAGAACGAGGAATAATACCTGGATCGACTTGGTTCTCCAAACAGATACCATCTTGCAGCCCCCACATCCGATCCACAAGCACTCGAATAAGCATTTCATCATCGGTCAGGGGAATGGTACTTTCACTTGGAATTCAGTCGCGGAAGCTGTACAGGCTATTCCTGGTAACTTCAATCTGCAGACGCCGCAGTATCGTGATACCTTCCATACGTTGCCGGCTGTCACAGGTCCGACTTGGACGGTTATCAGATATCATGTTGTTAACCCCGGTGCGTTCTTGATGCACTGTCATATTCAAGTTCATCAGAGTGGAGGGATGGTTTTGGCGATGTTGGATGGGGTTGATGTTTGGCCAACTGTCCCGCCGGCTTATCTGCTTGATTCTGGGTTTTAGTGAAGTATATATGAGATATGAAAGGGGTATAATGGGGAATAATGGAGGGGGAGGGAGTATATAGATTGGACTTCTAGTGCTATTATTTGGTGTGATGTTTGCTCTGGTATTTTCTTGTACGTTACACAATGTGTTGCGTGGGTGCACACAAGAGAATACCCAATCTTTCCGCAATTCTGTATGAATGCCCTACAAAAATGAAATCGTAGTTGAGAATATGATTCCTTTTGAGCATCTTTGATAAGAGTATTAAAACAGCATCAAATAAGACGCTGTCGGATCACTGACACCCCGGTATTATTAAATGACCAGCATATCAGATGGCTGGACACATGTTCCACGAGCGCAAGAACCTCGGTGGATAAGAAAAGAAGTTAACCATCCCTTCTCAAAGCAGATGAGTTTTGATCCCCTGCTCAATGGCAGGCAAGTGAGCCCCCACAACCTCAGTGATCTTTTCTCCGCCCTTGAAAAACATGAATGTAGGCTTTGTCCGCACACCTAGCTCCAGTGCGACCTCCTCGACCTTGTCGATGTCCACCTTGTAGAATTTGACCTGGGTGTAGGTGTTGCTCAAATCTTCATATTGGGGTGCGATGATTTTGCAGGCTGGGCACCATTCGGCGTAGCAGTCGAGGATGATGGCATCTTGTGTGCCAAGAACCTTCTCTAGGAAGTCGGCTTTGCTGTAATGGGTGTTAGTATGTACTTATACAAGGGAGAGAAGGGGATTTTACCTTGTAATTTCGTTGATAGGCATATTGTAAGTGTGTTGGATGGATATGTGGAAAAGTGAGAAGAGAAGAAGTTTATATAGAAGGTGGGTGGGGTGATGTAAAGTGACAATGACCTCATTACGAGAACAACCCTAAGTGTTCCTCTAAATTTAGTTGATGTTTCACCATCATACTATTATACCTGTTTCTGTTTTTAAGCTTACCTTTTTTATATTGTTTAATGGTGCCATTATATTCCCAATATATATATAGGTAAAAATTTTAACGCCACTGTCATCGACAGCGTGGGGATATGGGTCCACTACATCATCACTATCTACACAGGTAAACATATTACCCAAACAAGTATCTAAAGTCATAACTACATCTTATCCAAATACTTATATATCAAATAGACAAATCACATTCAATATCTAAACCCAGATAAAAAAATAAAATAAAATTGAGCCTGAAAAACCAGGAATCTGTGGGGTGATGTTGTTCCGTCCCGGGTTGTATTTAAGATCAGGCTCGGCTGTGCCCCTCTTCACACTTAACACCCTTTCCCCCTCTCTCTCTTGATATCTCTCCCCATTTCCATCAAAATGTCGAAGCTTTTCATTGGGTATGAGCGATCTTATTGATTCTTCCATGCGCCTACTAATCTTCATTTTCTAGCGGTCTTTCCTGGAACACAGACGACAACAGTCTGCGCCAGCGCTTCGAGGAATTCGGTGTTGTTGAGGATGCTGTGAGTCGCTTTCAACTTCCACTGATTCCCATTGCACCTGCTAAGACCTATTCTTCTCTAGACCGTCGTCAAGGACCGTGATACTGGCCGCAGCCGTGGTTTCGGTTTCGTCCGTTTCTCCAACGATGATGAGGCTACTGCCGCTATGAACGCCATGAACAACCAGGAGTAAGCAAACTAATCTTCCAATATTTCCTCTTTTAAGCGACAAGGTCGATGCTAGAATGAGTGGCGCATGCACGTCGTCTGTTCTAGCGCCGATGTGAACGTGTCTTCCCCCCTAGCAGAACATATGCTGATAATCACCTTTTTTTTTTCAGGTTCGACGGTCGCCAGATCCGTGTTGACAAGGCTACTGAGCGCGCTGCCGGTGGTGGTGGTCGCGGCGGCTTCGGCGGCGGTGGTTACCGTGGCGGTGGCCAGGGTGGCTACGGTGGCGGCCAAGGCGGCTACGGTGGTGGCCAGGGCGGCTACGGTGGCCAGCAGGGTGGTCAGGGTTACGGTGGCCAAGGTGGCTACGGTGGCCAGCAGGGCGGTTACTAGATGTTCCTGTCACGAAGCTTACGAAGGTCTGGACGTGATTAGCACTTTTTTTCCGAAGGTTGTGACTTATGCTGGGTTGAGGGATAAATTCGAGGAGATCTCACTGATCACTTGAACCTGCCCAATACAAAATCGAACTCGTTCAACTAACCTTACCTTTAATCGATAATAAATAATATCGAGCCTTCAGTTTCTGTTCTTGGTTCCTGATCTACCTACATTGTGCGGGTAGATGATTTGGGTTGCCCCGCATTGTATTGGGCAATTCAGGGCTAGATGTAGGGGGTTAAATGTAGGCTTTAATGTTTCGTATGTTATATATTGCTATATATATCAGTGCATAATCCAACAGATCTGATATCCAATGTTCAATATCTAATCTATTGGAGAGAGACGATCACTAAGCGAGCGGACCTCTAGGACCTGGGGGGCAAAGTGGAGAGATATCAAACTTTACGGGCTTGGCATTGTTTCATCTCTCGGTACATCCATGAATAGTACTGATTTTCTGGATTCATGTTGAAAGAGCAGAGGCTCGCTAATATAAACAGGATCATAAAAACTAACCAAGGGCTATGGCTAAATCAGCAAAAGGCGCCAAAATGAAAAGGAACATTGTAAAAATCATAAAATCCCAAACATTTCGCCTGATATCGTTCCAGTCGTGGTCGTGAGGTTGGGAAAGTGGTGTTTACTTTCCCAGGGTCAATCTGTTTGTTCGTCTTCTTCGTATTGTTCTTCTGTTTCGCTTTGAGTATCAGACTGTGCAGTCTCTGTAGCTACATCCAACAGGACAGGAGAGTCGATGGAGTCTGCGGGGGAAGGATATGACTCTGAAGACACAGCAGAAGAGTCCACGGTGTCATCCAAAGGCAGTTCTGCTTCATTCTCAAGCTGGGGTCGCTCATTGCCTTCAGACATGGCTGATAGAAAAGGAGATTCATCAGAGTCAGTTGAGGAAGCGGAGGGCTCCGAAGACACAGCAGGGGGGTCCACAGGGTCATCCAAGGGTTTGTGCGCGTCGTCCTCAGGTTGAGGTTGTGCAGTCTGTATATGCTCCGCGGGCTCCAACGGCACAATGGGAGATTCAATAGGGACAGCAGACAAAGAAAAAGAATCTGCTGCCTCATCGAGTTGTACCTGAGAATTCTCCGGCAGCTGACGTGGTGATATATGCTCCGTAGACTCTACAGAGTGCGTAGACTGATCATGAGAGTCAGGTGAGCCGATTGCCAGAGAAGCAGGCTCTGCTGTCCCAGACATTGGAATCACCTCTCTCTCACTCGCAGCCACAAACTCAGGGGAGACAGAGTCAACTGAGCCCACGGCGCTCGCGCTGACCGAGCTCGCAAAAGAGATCGAAGGAGACACAGATGGGGCCATGCTCAAACTCGGCATAGCCGACGAGGGCAGGATATCATCTGGCAAGGTCTGCGAAAAAGAACCAAGGTGGGAGTAAACGGGGACTTGCTGCTGGCGGGAACTGATAGCAAGGAACGCCACAAGAACACTGAGAAGAAGCAGAGCAATGTTGCGCTTATCGGCGGCTAGGACACGAATATAATTGACGAAGAGAGTCGAAAGAGCAACCTCGTGTTCCTTCTTCTCCCGTCCAAACTCAGACGCATGGTCAAGCCGAGCTCCAGCTTCAGGGAAGACCTGTCCGAACGTGATATCATCAGACTGGAAAGACCCCACATCACTGAGCATACGAGCATGGCTCTGCCTAGGCGACTGCAGAATCTCCGGTGATGCCTGATGCCCACTATCAACCAGCGGCGACATCTGCATCTGCATCTGCATCTGCATTTGTGGCATCTGACTCTGAGCCTGCTCCACAACGGCCATCTGCTCCTCTGCAAGCCTCTTCTCCAGACCACGGCGCACATCAGAAGGCAACCAAAGCCCGACCTCGACATCAACCTTCTCCATATCGCGCCATGCCGCAGCCCACGCCCCAGCGCGCATCAACCCGTTCGCAGCAAACACCCGAATTTCCCATTTGCGATTGCTATCGCCGTGTCGCACATGGGTCCCACAATCAGGGCACTCATCACCCTGCTCGCCGTCCGTCTCGCTCTCTCCGATATCGGAGAAATCACCCTCAGAGCCAGAGCCAGAGCTATGGTCCTCCCGACCCACGAAGTGACCGTTCTGCAGGCGTGGTCGTTGCAGCTCCAGACTCTCCAACAGCCGCTCCTCTAGAATGTCATATAGATCCTCCGGGTGCGAGATCAAAACGCCGCGATCACGTAGCACACCCGATCCAACCCGGTCTTGGAGCCGCCGCCATCGCTTCCAATATTCCGCCGGTAGCTCGTCTTCCAGGATATCCTGGTTTCTGGGGTCCGATGCTCCAGGCACCGGGATGGACGGCGGGAGGAGGGTGCAGTGCAGCAGCACGAGCGGAGCCTCCTTCCTCGGTTTGGGGTGTTTTGATGCATTGGGCGAGTGATAGGGTGATCGTTTCAGTGGTGAGGGGCCAGGTGACCGCGAGCGGAGGCCTGGTCGTCGGCGCGGGGGCGTTAGATAGTCGTCGTCGTCGGCTTCGTCTTCTGTGTGCATCTGCATAGCCCTGACAGAACTCGGTTTTCGAAATGCGGCTTCACGCTGGCGAATGGTACGGATATTAGCGGGGATGTCGTTGAAGTCGCCGAAGCTAGCTTCGGACTCTTCTACTCTGTAGCCGGTTATCTTTTCGTGGATGTCCATGTCTGGCATTTGTTTCATCCTGTCAACTGGGTGAATGAGAACGGAGGCTGGGGTTGAGGATAGTGATGAGCGACTCGATGCTCTGGACTTCAGTTGGTCTAGTTCATCGTCCATTTCACGACCGAAGACGTCGCTTGTTGAATGGCGGGTGGAGGAGGAGGACGAGTTGTATTCATATTCTTGGGTGGAGGACATCTGGGCATTATCGGCAGAGTAGGGCTCGTTGCTGGACTCGAGGGATGATACAAGAAAGCCTTTGCCTGGAGGGGCAAATGGTTGCGGGCTTAGGATCTCTGTGCAATCGACGTCTTGTTGACTGTCGTCATTTAACCGCGCCATGGGTTCTCATGCGGTGGCTGGCGGGAGACTGCGTTCTGAGTCGGTCTGTGCAAGAACAAAGATATAGAGACTTGGTAAAACCAGATTCCACCACCTCCCTTTGTGTCAACGTGGAATTCAAGACAACTCAACGTGTGTTGACAAGTCTCTCACCGCCCCCGTCGTGCCGGGCAACCGACTGACATTGTCGATCATCAAGCCACCAGTACTCGACTACGTAGATTTTGAACATGAAACTTATCCTGGGTTCATACTTTTGGGAATCTTGGAATCAATGCAAGGAAAGTCTGACTTTGAGTCTATGATGACCAGGTCATCCTATAGATATTTTAAACATGCCGCTAGTTTGAACATACATAACCCAAAACGCGGGTGATCTAGTGCAAGCCAAGGATATCATCCAACCTGACGCCAGAAAAGCATACCTCGGTCCGCAATATATAAACAAAAGCAGAAGCCAGTCGCTGGAACACAGGCAAATGCAAACCGCCCAAAAGGTATAAATATGTACGATAAGAAGAATGGAACAAACATTATGGAGGCCGTGACACATCGTCAGGGCTCATAAGCGGATAATTTTGATGGTCGCCGAAGAAACTCAGAACATCTTGAGGGAGGTATTCCAGCCACGGAAGGATCTCGCCGTTGGCGAACGGGAAAGAGTCCTGATGGTGGATAGTGTTCATATCGACCTCGTGACTCCCGATCATCATCCCGTTGGCATCATCAATGGTCGGCTGGAGATCGACACCTGGGTCGCGGGACCCCATTTGGTTTCTAGCTTGGTGCTCGTTTGTCGTTTGAGGTATCGAGTAACTATAGGCGGAGGGCTGGGTACCCATATGTGAAGTTGGTAGCCCGGAGGATAGCATCCCGGGGAAAGTAGATTGTGATGTCTCTACGGGACGTGTTGTCCGCGTATTTGATTCGGGATATGCTGGATTCATGCCCATGTAATAAGAAGGGTCACTGCTAATTTGTCTGGATTGAATATTGGAGTATTTAGCATTTGCTGTCGTAAGCGAGGGCGTCATTTCTTCGTGAGCCCTGGCTGGTGCGATAGATTGTGGATATGAAGAGCTTGGCCCTTCGCCGGCATTTGTTGGTAGAAATGGGTAGCTGTGACTGTACTGCGACGAGTATGTTGGTCGATTGGACGGAGACTCGGCCTCAGTCGTGGACATCTGATAAAGCAGACTTAAGTTGGGCTGTGAAGAATTTGTTGCTCCAGTGAGCGCCCATCCGATAGCTGTCGAGGCATAAGCTGTTAGTGGTATGTTTATTATGGATATTGATGGACACAACAAACCTTGACTCGGATCAATGTGGGGTGACCGTTTCCCGTCAGATGAGATATCTGCGACCCCGGCTGGTCTTTCCATATCAAAGACAGAGTCCACCGGCGCTTTGCCCGCCCGCCAAGCTCCTGTCCCAAGAGGCTGTCCTGGGGTGATACCTGCAGTGTTTTCCATATCCTCCACAGCGTAAAGGAGAGGATCGACAATCCCCTTGGCCTTCTGATCCAGCACTGTCAAAATATATCCAGTGCCTTCCCAGTACGCATTGAGTGCTTTCAAAGCCTTGTAACACCGCTGGTAATTCTCTCTGGCGGCAGAAGCAAGCAGGATATGCTTCGCCGTAGACTTCCGTTCTGTCCCATTTGAGGACTCCATAGTGGGCATCACAAACCCACTGGATTGATTCGCCAACAATGGCTGGGGTGGGGTTGACCCTGCCCCCGAAGATGGAGACGCATAGTACGCACTCTCCATGAGGAATGCGCACGCCGCAATGTACATCGGCTGACTCGTGAAAGGGTTACCAATGAAGCTTTTCCCGTCGACAAGCTCCGAGAAGGATAGGATATCGGCAATAGTCTTGGCAGATGACATCGACAGCTCACGACTATTCGGATAGAGATGTTGTATTGATCCACCAAACGAGTTCAGCAGCGTCGGTTGGTGAAGGAGAACGATGAGAGTATGAAACCAAAAATGAAGAAGAATGAAATTGGTTCCCTCCTTGGCTTTGACATAAGCTTGAAAATTAGCTGCGTTGAAATAAAGTCTTGGGGACAAGCGTTGATAGATGCCAGTTAAGTCGCTTTCCATCCCAGCCAACATCTTCAACGTGTCCGGCGTGACGAGCTTGACATCTTGGATGCCATTGATCAAGTCGGTCACCCGGCCGTACAGATGAATTATCCGAATAAGCGGTGGGAAAGGCGCGGGCCACCCATTTGGTAGCTGAGATTCAGACTGAAGAGGGAAACAGAGTTCAATATCCTCATCGCGCAGTGTCACTGGCCTCCCGGTGCCCGAAGAAATGACTCGGTCTAGGAAAAAGATGCTCCAGAATGAGTCTACCCGTTCGCGCTCCCGGGCACGTTCCTCAATCAAAGGCTGTGGATTAGCCTTGGGTGTCAGATGCACATCAAGATCATCATACTGTTCCTCTCTTAATTTCCCAGCCTGGCCTGTCATCACTTCACTTGGTGTGACGCCAGTCCTGCCGTAATTATGTTTGAGGCCTTGGAACTTCTGCAGTCCAAGGTCCTGCGCCATGCGAATTGATATTCCAAGGTACATCCAGAGTCCACTGTCATGATTTGATCCGAACTGTTCATATGCGAGCAACAAGCAGGCTTGGACGGCAGAGAGAGTTGGGCATGGCAATGAATCCACGAGAGCGCTCATTGCGCGATGACCAAAGGGCAAACCTCGATCCCACTTTTTATCGTCAAGTAGGGGCTGCGAGCGATCGATAGGAGGAGCCTGTGGAGGACCAAGTGATGGATGTATTGAGAATCTCGCAGCTAATGAACACACTGCGTCTACCAACATGGTGTCAACCTTTTTCTCTTTAAGGTCCTGAAGAAATCTCTCTCGTTGTAGAAAGGGAAAGCTGCAGCCCAGGTGGGCAAAGAAGAGTTCGCACAAATGTGATACAAGATTCGAAACGGGAAGCGTATCATCTCGGTCATAAAATGGGATATTTGCATCGCGACTGTCTCGGTTATCCGGGGCAGTAGCAAGGGGTCTTGTGGGAATTTCGGACGGTTTAGGGCTCCGAATAGGAGAGGGGGAGTCTGAGGACATGGATGGGTTACTCCTGCGAGAACCTCGAACCTGCACAACCATTTGTTTAAACCCCGGTACAATCGCGGTGGGGCCAAAGTATCGAAAATACGGGACATGCGTGCGACTCGCTGAGCTCACAGAGGTACGACCACTCGCTGGACTGTCCCCAACAGCTTGTGTATCCAATTCCTTCCCGAATGAAGAAGTATCCCCAAAAGAAGAGATATCCTGTGATCCAGGCGCTTTCGTCTTGGTGGATTTATCCGCGGGGGGCTTGGGTATCGTTATTGGCACTGGTTCGGGGGAGCTGCTTTCGACTGCCCGGGAAGCGCGCTGGTTCGATTCATTCGGAACGGAAAGGCGCGGCGGCGCTCGCGATGCGGAGTCAGACTGCGTTCGCAGGTGTGCGGTCGATTCGGTGTATCCAAGGCAGACATGCTTATAGTCGGAGCAAGTCTTACACACTTCCCGCATATACTCCGTCAGCAACATATCCGCGATCGAGACACTCTGTGCATCCTACCTGGTTGTTCACCAGAACATCGAATCTTGCGCCGGCGACATGTTAAACAACTATATCATAACGAAAGTGACGTCAGCGTCTTGACCGACAAATTGGTCCTCGGTATGGTCCACATACGCGGCATTAACGCGGCGACGCTTGGTTTGCGGCTGCCCATCGGTTGCGACAAAGCGGATTTGTCTAGGAACAGAAGGATTGCCGCCATTCTTCTTCGGAGAAGGGGGGCTCATGGCGAGCCAATAATTATCCGTGACCTCGACCCATTGGGTACCTGCACACTCTCAGCTTCAGTCGGCGGGTTCTCGGCGCGGAGCTTGGATTTATAAGGTTCGAGGATTGAAATGAAGGAAAATTGCGTAGCGGAAACTTCATAGAAATAAAGCCAATATTCAAGGCCAGGGGATCACAAAGTGTGAAGTGGTTTCAAGGGAGAAAAAGTTGGGGAAGAGGGGAGTCGATAAGCCCTCGTGATTGCCCTCGCTTGTACTACGCCACTCCAGCACATTTTACATTTCCGAACCCTTTTGGAAATCTCACGATGTAATTTTGTAAGGTAATGTTCTGATCGAAAACATCTCAGTTTTCCCCCTTGACCGCTACGCCGAAAACAGAGCCACACCATTCCCTTTCGGGAGGGACAATCGGTCATGGGATGTCTGGGGCGATCCTGCCAAGATTATGTTTTATATATCATATATTGTTGCTTTGTAGAAATACATATATGTACTTACATGTATGGAGTACCGAGTACATATTATAGAATAAAGATGTAAATAAAAGGTAAATTTAAAATCATTTTGAATAGGAAATATTGAAATTCGCATCAACTCCGAGTATCTAGAGTCCAGACTTCGGGATATATGGAGCTTTTATGGGGAGAGTGGGTTTGGCCGTATGTATTTCACTCTCCCCACGTTTTCAGTATCTATATCAAATTAGGAATTTCCATCTTTTTCTTCAACATGTATATATCCCGGGCATCCAAAATGATATCCTTCAGTTGCAATGTGCTACCTGGATATATTTAAGCTTATCATGAGCTCGGGCTTGGGGATTTCCCATTTTGGGAAAATTCCTCCCGAAAGATTCACAGTATTTAAAGGGTCCACATCGGCGGTTTCCCATGTCAGGTGAACGGTGCTTTTAACCGGCCATTTAGTGTATTTTCCACTCATTTGTACGCGTTTTTATCGTCCTTGACTCTTGAGTGTCATTTCCGAAGTCTAATAGAATCCTTAATGCATACCACGTCAAAAGAAATATGAAGTACGGAATACAGAGTATACAATTCTTTCTATATGGTCTTTGTTCATATCCCGAGAGAACCTTTGGATTTATATTCCCGCTGGTAGTGCTTTAAAGTTATAGAGGTTTATACTACAAGTTCACCCTAACCGGGGCCCACTAGACAAAGGTTTTGTTATTTTATTGCATATGGGTTGATTGAGAAGCATTATGACGTGTCTCGCTTTGAGTTCCTCGGGGCTATCCCCGGAGTCGGCCCGAGAGTCGGTAGAGGACATATATCCACGCATTATCTACGACATAGGGCGGTATATAGTGTGTGGCAATACGCATTTATACCAGATTGATCCGTGGCACTAATCCCGCAACCAAACCTTGCATTCCAAGGTTGAATTAGAGATAGCAAATGCGATAAGAATTTCTTCAAATCAAAGAACTTCCTCCACTGCCCCCATGTGTCTACTTAAATCTGCCTACCGAAGTACTCGGAGGCTCTCATTGTTGTCAGTATTTCACTGACCTCCCTTTCCAGCATGACGGAGGTGACATTCTCGTCACCACACCTGCTACGCGGGGACATCCATATTAAGCAGCAGAGCTGATTTATAAGCCCAAGTCCTGATCGTCTCCTAACCCGCGCACCATTCCAATCCAATCACCCCACTCGATTCTTCAGCCAAACCTGCACAATGTTCAAAGTCTACCCGGAATTCGAGCAAACCCAAGCCTCGCGGCCAGATTTTCGCCGCGATGCCGAGATCACATACACCAAGTCCCCAACCCCTACATGGAAGCAAGGCGATGGCGCAAATGACGGCGGTGAGAGCCTGAAGAAAGACCACGTTGAGATCGACCCCAACGAGGAGGGCCGCCCCGTGGCCTCGAACTATAAGTTCCTGATCTCAGGAATGGTCCCACGACCGATCGCACTCGTCAGTACTCAGTCTGCAGATGGCAAGACTACAAACCTTGCTCCGTTCAGCTACGCACAGGTCATCAACCACGACCCGCCACTCTTCACGATTGGCTTTTCTGGGTCGATGGAGAGAGCCAAGGATTCGTTGAAAAACCTCAACGAGACTGGGGAGTGTGTTATTAACATTATCTCGGAGCATTTTGTTGAAGCGGCCAACTCTACTTCTATCAATGCTCCGTATGGTGTCTCTGAGTGGGAGACTTCGGGGCTACACCAGGCGCCTACCTCTGTTGTTAAGCCTGCCCGCGTCAAGGAGTCCATTCTCTCTATTGAGGGCAAGCTTGTTGAGTTGAAGGAGTTTGAGAGTCGGGTCACCCCGGGTAAGAAGTCGGGTGTGCTTGCTATTATTGAGGGCGTTCGTTTCTGGGTTAGGGATGACGCTATCAACGAGGAAAGAAATGTTGTTGATTTGAAGGTTCTTAAGCCTATAAGTCGCCTAGGTGGTATCTCATATGGTCGAACCACGGAGGCCATGGAGATCCCTAGACCGCAATTTTAGGCCTCTAGTTTCAACCCGGGGAGGCTTGTAATTTCGGGCTTTGGGGGGTGAACAGGAGCATATAAATTATAAATAAACTTGTATAACCCTTTGATTGATGCACAATGTGTAACCAATAGTATGTAAGTATGGATACGATGTATTATAGGTAAGTAGTGGTTTACCTAATTAGTCAACGTAATCTTTAAATGGGATTTTCTAGACAAGGTCGTCCACCGCGCTCCTGACCCCATGAGGTTCCCGGCGCGATCCCGGAGGAAGGTTTGTAAGCCCGCTATCCCTTCGGTATGGGATTTTACCAAGTTTAGAAAGTTCCTGACTAAATTTTAGCTTGAATCTATCCGAGATGCTTACTAGATATCTTTCCGAGGATTCAAAGGCTTGGTGAGATGTTTCACGCTCATAGATGTCAAATTGACGGAGGATAAACAGCTCCGACTCAAGCCGTGTATCATGCGGAGAGCGGGGTTGAGTATCTCTAACTGTCGAACTATAAATTGGAGGATACCCGTTTATCACAAGATACAAACCACTTCACTTCTTTTAATCACTATATTAAAGCAAGAAACCCGCAATGTCACAGGAATACGAAACATTCAAGCTTGGAGACTGGGAGCTCCAGAGTGGGGAGAGGATTGAGAATGCTCATATCGCATACAAGACATTCGGCGATCCCAAGTCTCCAGCAATCGTCTATCCAACCTGGTTTTCCGGAGGTATATCTAGATATGATCCTACCTTCTCCCCAGTACTTCTCTAATACTGCCTCCAGCCCTCTCCGACAACTTCTGGTTGATCGGAGACGACAAGCTCCTGAACCCGAACAATTTCTTCATCATAGTTCCAGCCCTGTTCGGAAATGGCCAGTCCTCCTCTCCATCTAACCAGCTTAGCCCCGGGCCATTCCCAAGGGTGTCATTTTACGACAATGTGCGGGCGCAGCATGAGCTCGTTACCAAACACATGGGCATCACGCATTTGCGCGCCGTTGTCGGTTGGTCTATGGGAGGCGCCCAGGCTTTCCAGTGGGCAACGCAATATCCTAACTTCATGGATATTGTGGTCCCATTTTGCACGTCTGCGAAAACCTCGCTGCACAACCAAGTCTTCCTTGAGGGTGTTAAAAGCTCTTTGATTGCGGTAAAGAAGAGCCGCTCTGCGGGGACTGGAAATATTGGCCATGATAGAGAAACGGCAGAAGCGCATGTTTGGACAGCTGAGGAGAAGGATGTTGGTCTCAAGGCATTGGGCCGTGTGTATGCTGGATGGTAAGAATCCGATGTTGACCTTTATCTTTTATCCCCTAACCCATTCGCAACAGGGGATTCAGCCAGGCCTTCTATCGACACAAGTTGTATGAAACCACGCTGGGTTTCAAGGGACTTGAAGACTTCATGGTCAACTTCTGGGAGAAATGGGCTTGTTCTAAAGGTACCATTTGACCCCAAAGAATGAGCTGCATCACAGAACTAACGGATACTTTATAGAGCCCGAGAATATGCTAGTCATGCTACAGACCTGGCAAATTGGTGATGTCTCGCAGCAAGACCCATACAATGGGGACTTTGAAAGGGCGATGGCATCCATCAAAGCAAAAGCGCTAGTTTTGCCATCAAAAACTGACCTTTACTTCCCGTAAGTTGAGATATTCTGTTCTATCCTTTGGGCGATGTGAGACTCAACTAAAAATTACATCATATTAGTCCCGAAGACTCGGAGTATGAGGTTGCTTGCATGAAGCCAGGCATTGGAACACTGGATATCTTCCCTTCGATCTGGGGTCGTGAGTATATCACTTCAAATTTGAAATACGCACAAAGCTAACCCAGTATATAGATTGGGCAGGAGGTCCAGGCGATAGTACGGAGGATGTTGAATGGCTTGATAACAAGCTCTCGCAATTTTTTGCAGACAACGAAGGTGATAGCGTCAATTCTTTGGCCGAGAAGCTCGAAAGCACGCTCAAATAGATCATAAGTAACACAATATTAAATCCAGCATTCTAAGGTGAATTCAGTCATAGCTGAGATCTCTTGATGGGTGAAAATAGTAATGTTATCTTGTCGTCGCCCCAAAAAAAGTAGATAGATACTGGTCATGTGACGCTGAGTAAGCACCTGCCCTCAGGTGGTCCTGGAAGCGCCGATGAACCTTGCGCGGCGAACAACTTCCTTCTCCAATTCCATTCCTCTCCCTGTTTCTTTCTTCTCTTCCCGTTCGCCTAGGGAATTGTATTTATTCTTTCCAAGCAGCACCTAATTTTCTTCCTCGGCTGCTTATATCGGGAGCTTGTCGCCAACTCTGCTTGCGTTATCTAATCCCTATCTTCACACGGCTTGTGAGACTAGATCTCGAATCTTACCATCTCGGCTTCCTCCCCACAATGGCTACGCCACCTGTCCGACAGTGGGGTGTTACACCCCCGATCTCGACCGTCCTGCCGACCAAGGATGAGCTTGCCGCAAATGACGATCTCATTGCCGAGCTCAAGGCTCAGAACAACTTCGAGCTACCGACTGAAACGGAACGGAGGTGTGTTCGCATTTCAGCAAGGAAAGCGCCAGAGAGCCGAGACTGATAATCGCGGAATAGAAAACAAGTGCTCCAATTACTCCAGCGCGTCACAGTGGAATTTGTTCAAGTCGTCAGTCGCAAGAAGGGTCTGTCTCCTGCTGCTGTTGAGGCTTCCGGGGGTAAAATCTTCACGTATGGAAGTTATAGGCTGGGCGTATACGGACCAGGTAAGTGTTCAGTCATGTATGGATCCAAGCTCTCATACCCGTGTTGACGATGATTGCTTGCAGGTTCCGATATCGATACCCTAGTCGTTGGGCCTAAACATGTCCTGATCGATGATTTCTTCGCTGAATTCCCCCCTATACTCGAAAGAATGGCTTCCGAGGGAGCCATTGAAAAGATGACTCCCGTGCCTGATGCGTTCGTTCCAATTATCAAGCTTGAGCTATGTGGAATCAGTATCGATCTGATTTTTGCCCGCCTCGTCGTTCCCGCTATACCGATGAACCTGGATTTGAAGAATAATGATTATCTCAGAGGACTGGATGAACGAGAGGTGCGATCGCTCAATGGAACTCGTGTCACAGATGAAATACTGGAGCTTGTCCCCCAACAAAAGACATTCCGCCTTGCATTGCGTGCAATCAAACTCTGGGCCCAGCGTAAGTGTCACTTACTCATTTGTTTATTACTGTCCAATTTACCTGATTATTTGTATAGGACGAGCGATCTACTCGAACATTGTCGGATTCCCTGGTGGTGTTGCATGGGCGATGCTGGTGGCTCGAGTTTGTCAACTATACCCGCAAGCAACTGGCTCTGTTATTGTGGGAAAGTTTTTCAGAATTATGAACAAGTGGAATTGGCCTCAGCCTGTCTTATTGAAACAGATCGAGGATGGACCCCTTCAGATAAAAGTTTGGAACCCAAAGGTAAGCACAGAGCATCGCTTTCGCTGACGACATAGGCTAAGAACTATCAGATTTACCATGGTGATCGATTCCACCTTATGCCCATCATCACTCCTGCGTATCCCTCCATGTGCTCTACTCACAACATCAGTTTGTCCACCAAGGCTGTTATTCTCAGGGAGCTACAGCGAGGTGGCGACATGGTCGACAAGATCTTCATGAAGCAGCTCTCGTGGAAGGATCTATTTGCGCGCCACACATTCTTCACCCACGATTACAAGTACTATCTCAGCATCACCGCTTCTAGCAAGACCAAGGAGGCCGAGTCCGTGTGGTCCGGTCTCGTGGAGTCCAAGCTGCGTCACCTTGTTGGCGCTTTAGATCGCAAGCCAATTGTTGCAGTGGCCCACCCATTTCCCAAGGGATTTGAAAGGATCCATCGCATCACCAGCGAGCAAGAAATGGAGGCAGTAAAAAATGGGTCTACACAATATCAGGCTAAAGGCACAAAGACCGCGATGACTGATGAGACTAAGGATGCTGCTCACCAAGCCGCAATCCAGAACACCCTTGAAAATGCTGAGGTCCCAGAGCCGGCCGTAGGCAAGGTCGAGGGCACGGTCGACAATGATGGCCAGACTGTGTACACAACGACATATTACATCGGCCTGGAGCTGAAACCTCTGGAGCCAGGTAATCGCATCGCTCTCCCTATATGACATTTCTAACTCTTTTTTCCAAGGCCAATCGCGATCTCTCGATATATCCACCGACTCGCAGATCTTCAAGTCAACTTGCACCTCATGGCCAGGATACCAGGAAGAAGTCATGGAGTTGGCCGTCACCCATGTTCGCAGGCAAGTTCCTCTTCTGCCTGTGACTTGTGTTAGCTTTATCTAACGCCTTCTAGTTTTGATTTGCCCGATGATGTTTTCCAGCCCGGTGAGACCCGAGCCTCTCGACCAAAGAAGAAAGTTGCCAAACGGTCAGAGACAGCCGGCCAGAAACGCAGCATTGGCGAGTTGGACGTAAGTGTGCAGAAGCGAGTGCGATCAGCCTAATCTGGCGAAACTTCAACCCCGGAATCCGCGATCCAACGCCCTGCGAGACAAACCCCCAGGATGTCGACAACTTAGAATAACTAATACCAACTCCGATTCCCAGGGTCCACCCGAAGGAGCCGCAAAACGCCAAGTTACCTCCGCAACTCCCGCCTGAACGACCCCCTCACTCTCCTTTGCTCCCTCCATCCCGCCGGGGCTGGTCCCCAACATCAAAGTGATATCAGAACCTCAAATTGCCTGTGGTCTCTGACCTAATATTGCAGCTTGCAGTTCTACCTCCAACCAAACATCTAACTTCTCGCCACCTTTGAGTGTTGCCCTTATCTACAGTGAACGTCCCGTGCTCTCGAAGCATAAGGTTGGTTCGTTCTTCTCTTCGTCTCTTGTCTTCCGTCTTTTGCGTTGCTTTCCCAACAACTAGACTAGACACCTTTTTCTTCCCTGCCCCTTGGCACTTCACCCCTTACTGGGCCTATTCATCACAGAGCATATGTATATGGGCCGGATTTATTCTTTATTTCGTCTATCTGATTGGTGTAGTATTTTGTTGTCGGTGGAACAGGTGGTTTCCCTCTGCCCAGGTGGGCGTATTCAATTCGCCATCGTGCAGATAGTTCAGATAGTTGAATGCAAGGACGTGTCCCACAGTATGTGGGTTACACATAATCCACAAATTATCTTTGCCTTTGTCAATTACATCCCAGTAATATTACACTTGGCTATTTTCCTGCTGGCTATAAACAATAGGGGGTATTTTGGCCTTGTTGACACCGTTGGCTCTTGAGATGCTTGGGTTTGTGGAGTCGGGATCCCAATTTTGCATGCCCGGTGGCCGCAGAGAGGCTACGCCTCTACCACTATTCCACTTCATTATCGATGACCAGGCGACGCATTCCTTTCCTATAGAACTTGATGATATTGATGATGCTATGTCTATACCTATAATGGGGATCTTGCCAGGGTGATTGAGCCATATTGCAGTTAGCACGGCTACTATTGGCCGGTGCCTTTCCTTCTACTAGCCCACCTTCTACCGGTATGTATCAAAGCCATGCCTAACATGCATACCCAAAGATTGGGAGTGTTAATGGAGTATATTTGAATTCATTAACAAGAAAATAAATATATTACACCTCAAGATTGAGGTATGGCGTTGAGGTTTGCATCTCTCATTCAACCTTAGATTCAAGTTAAACCTAGCCACTTTTATGAGGCCGACAGTCAGGCTCAGGTACTCGGGAATTTATCGGAGAGATTGTGCACTCAATCTATGCCTAGGCTACTTATATAAAGCATTACGGTGGGCTTCCCGGTGAATCGTGTCTTATTGAGGATGCCAAGTTTGACTAGCCCTGAAGGATCCCATGTCCTGTGATGAGGGGTGCCGGCACCACCAGTTTCTCAACATGGGGCAGGAACACCTATTACTGACATTTTTTACCTGTTGTTACTTTTTGGTCTATTTTCATCAATTCTTCTAAGTGGACTAGAACTACTCTCGGAGTCGCCATGGCCCGTACTACTATATGTGATTTACCTACGGAGCTCATATTGCTTGTTGTCGACTACCTTGACTACCCCTCGTCTGTTGCAGTTTCACATACAAATCAAAGATTATGGTCTATTGTTCCGATTGAGCCACCTACAACAGCGAAACAAAAATTAGCGTTCCTTTGTGCTATAGAGCTGTGGCCAAAGCAAGTACTGCCCAGGACGAAGTCTTGATATTTCAATCTTCCCGATTACTGATGATTCCAGATATGATCAATTCTTCTCCTGCAACATATGCCTAAAACTCCGGCCCGGAACTGAATTTACCGACAAGCAAATCAATGGCCAGAAGCGCGAGAAAGGTAACACCGAGACCCCGCGTCGATTTTGCGTTGATTGCGGCTGCCGCACCGGAAGGTATCAAGCAGGTGTTGTTGTCACGGTGAATGGGCGGGGCGAAGTCCTCTGCATTGAATGCCGAGAGAGAAGTGGAGAAAAGCTGTATTGCACCTATTGCCGGATGTGCCAGCATTGTTTGGCAAAGCAATACAAACTGCGTTTACGTTTACCCTCTACAATCTCACCGATTGAACTTGAAGGGCCTAACTGTCCCCGATGCAAGCGTGAGAGGTTTTAAGTAAAGCCACCACGCTAATTTCATCTTGAGGACATGTTGATGGCGATGAAATGACTGATTGCGAGGACACATGTTTGTGGGCAGCCCCGAGCAATTTTAAGAGAACATTGCGCATGCGGATATAGGGCCATGGCCTCAGTTGGGATCTTGGCTCTTGTCTGAAAAGGGGAATAGGCTGCCGTGAGCGAGGTAATCCAAGTCACTGTTTCTACCGTCTGATACTTATTCAATTCAGTCTTCTAACTTGGACAAAGAATCAAAACTGTCGATTTGGACGACAGACCTGGTGATACTCCCTGCTTTTATTAGTTGAGACGGTCGCGTTAATTAACATGTTCTATCCCTTTTGGCCTAATTTTTCTTTCATGGTAAATCGAAGAGTCTAAAGATATTTTTCCACGAGATAATATAAAATTTTATCGACGTACAAAAGTATAAGGGTAGTTTAACCAAAAGCACGGGTTAGACCTTAAATATTAGGCTCTATATTCACGAGATAGTTAGTTATAGGCTTTCTTAGGTTGAAGTAGGTTCTAAAGGTTAAAATATAAAATATACGCCCTTAATTAGTAGGTATAGGTAGTAATAATGAGGGGGACTACGGAGAATTTTAAGTGGTAAATTTACTTTAAAAAGCACGTAGTTAATTAATAAAGGTGTAATTGATAGCTAACTAGATACTCTCTAGTCCCTTTCCCTACGTAAAATAAGATAGTAGTACACTACGTATTTAGCTTAATTGATTATTTGACTAATCAGCTAGATGAAACTATAGGTTAATTATGAAATGAATACATATTCGTTGAGATATATGTAGTTGAAGTCAAGATATATATTTCATGGGGAGCGGGTCAAAACCCGACTGTCCCAACTAATACTGGCACTACCGTAGACTAGAGATTCGGCAACAGGATATTGGGTTGTATTTTGATCTAAACTAAACTAGCTAAGGTCTGGAGGAGTGGCTTGTCACTAGGTGCTGCTCAAGTGCAGATACTGTTTACCTCTAGATAGACGAGAAGACCCTATGCAGCTTTACTGTTACTAATTATAGGAGTGAAATTTTAGGATGATTTATAGTGTATAAGGTAGTTGTTTAGATAATAATGAAACACCTTTATTCGAATCCTTATATATACTCTTAATGATTAGAAGGCAGTTTATGCGGGGCACAGATCCCACAAAAAGTACCTGGGTATATCCAAAGTTCGTATTGTAAACTTGTATATTTATATACAAATATTTTAATTTGTTACCGCTTGAATTGACAAAAAAGAAGTGCTCACACTCGGAGTCGAACCGAGGATCTCATCATTACTAGTGATGCGCTTTACCACTAAGCCATGCGAGCTTCTTATGTGTGAGGGGAGGTGGAGTCGAACCTCATTTCCTTCTCAACCAATTGACTTTTCAGCGTCATGTGATATCAAAATGGGAATGAGTTTGAGTGTCCCTCCGGCGTAATATGTATCATCGAGATCAGAAATGTGAGATAACCTTTCTTTTCGTTTAATGTTTTGGAGTAGAGTCTTCCCAACCTACATCAACAAGAATAATCAGTTGCTTATGCAGTCACGTCATGTTTCTTTGGTATTTTTGTGGTTTTTTGTGGTATATTTGTGACTCTTTTCTTAAAAAATTCATCTTCCTTCCTGGCTTTATAGCTACCATGGACGGGCGGTAAAAAAGATAAACCGTACAGATATTTTCTACCTGCATAACTAGGGATGTATGGACGGTCCCTCCTCTTTAGTGTGGAGTGGGACGGCCAGCGGCCAACGGCCAACGGGAACTAGCGTCATTACCACGGCCCACATCGATAAAAAAATGTTCTGAGGAATGAAACAAAGGCAAAAAATGCTCACACTCGGAGTCGAACCGAGGATCTCATCATTACTAGTGATGCGCTTTACCACTAAGCCATGCGAGCTGATTGGATGCTACAGATTTCTTTCTTTGCTACATGAGGCTAAACATATGAACGATCCACACTGCCTGGTGAACAATATGGATACTTGAACTCTATCACACACATTTCGTCACTGGGTGCATGGCTTAAGCGATATTCATGACAATACTTCAATTCGTCATAGTAGAACATATCCGTTGAGGAAGCGGGTTCGTTGACATAACGGCCAGCGATGAGATGGCGGCCTTGGGGCAATGATAGTGGGAAACTTGATGCTCAAGTTGAAATGGACGAAATTGGTATGTACAAGCTAAATTGTCCACAGACACTTTGGGTTTGTCGATGTGGTGAGAGTATAAGTGGAAATTAGAAGAGTGTGATTGAAAGCGAGCCGGTAGACGAGGATACCAAGGATGGGCTTTTTGAGGCCGCAGAGATTTTACAGGACAAAATCTGTACTAGTAAATACCTTAAAAGATTCTGCCAGTTTTAGGAGGCTGTAAGGCCCAGATAGGAACGAACACCTTATACCACTACTTTTGAGGTGGAGGAAGACTTCTAATACGATTACTTGCCCAATAGCAGATATCAGGACCACTCTTTACTAAATTGTTCAATGTTCTTATGTATCTATCTGGACGGCTGGGTCTTAGACAATCTCCGTGCTTGTAGTCTTTTTCCAGGTGCTGTCAGTAAGTCACCAGCTGTCAGCCCTAATGAGGAATTCGGCATTTGCACATAGTACTTGCATTTCCCTAGTTTTCGCAAGCAAAGCCTAACACTAGTTGCAACTTTCGAGTAGCTTTGGAATTTACATTCTTTTCGTTTCCTTTCGTTTTTATGATGCCCCTCAAACGATATCGAACACAAACTTACTACATACTAGTATGTCCGTATAATCCGGTGACGGAATTACGCAAAAGAGTTTAGCGTGCCATTTCGGGTTTAGCGCCTTGTTGCGCGTTACGCTCGCCGTGCGTGTTTCTATAAAGTCCCCTTCATCGCCGCTCCAGCTTCTCGCTTTTCGCCCTTCTGCCCATCCTTTCCCTCCATTCCTCCTGTGCGCCTTGCGAGTCGCGCTGACCTGCATTTCAGGCCCCTGACTTCTCAATCGGTCGGTTCGTCGTCGAACTTCTGCGCATCCGGGCGCCTTCACCCTGCGCTCTTTCTGGATAATCGTCTGAGTGAAGCGGGCAAGGCCGAGGGCGTTCTCAGCCTTGGCTGATGGCGACCGTATCACTTCGGAACTGAGGAAGGCGGGGATGAGACTTGTCAGCGTACACGAACGACCTGTCACAGCCGCTATACGCATCAGCCCTAGTCACTGGGCAGTTAGTTAACTGGTTAACCAACTAACTAACTAACTAACTAGTTTGATTGTCGGCCTGGAGTTTTAAACAATTTAGACACCAGGTAACTAACTACCTAACTATCCACCCACCTCCCAATAGGACTAGCGCCAGGCGCTATAGCTCCTCCACTCAACCTCGTAACCTATCCAAGAAACCCATCTCCAAAGCATCCAAAGCAACTCCAATGTCGTCCTCATACTCAGCCTAGTTCCGTAAGGGCCCTGATCCTGGAAGTATCATCAGCCTTGACCAACCCGTCCCTTCCCGGTGGGAGATTCTTAAGAAGCTGAACGAGCATGACTATCAGGTTAACGAGGAGGAAAACGATGAGTATGGCTTCCGTTCTTTCGCCTCGGCTACATATCTATGCTGCGATCCCAGAGCCCGGACTGGGGAAGCCCTCATGCGCATCTACATTCAAGTTCCCCATCGGAAGACTGAAATGGATGATGCGGATACCAGAAGGCGACAAGCCACAACTTACAACCCCCCAGAATTGATCGCCTACCGGGACCTCACTGAAAAGGGCTCTAGTGACACACCAAAGCTTCTCGGATACAAGACCGATAAACAGGATCGCTCGGGGCTAGTTCCGGGTGGATTCATTATCTGGCTTGTGTGGGAGATCGTCCCAGGGCTGCGCCTCGGAGACGGCAATAGCGCTGACCCATATTGGGCTCTTAAAAGCAACGAAAGGGAGCAGGTTCGCTTGGCTTTCCTTAAGGCTCTACCGTAAGTCGATGTTTCTTCTGTATTCGGCACTGGATCTAATCATTGTCGACTACGTAGTAAGCTGCATGAGAACGGGTGGTTCCCCCGTGTGTGCGGGGCAAGCAGCCTAGTTTGGCACGAGAAGACGCAAACACTGTACGTTATTGCTATATTATCCCGACGACAAGGTGACGAACTTATTAGTTTACTCCATATAGCTACTTTATCGGACCCTTTGAGAAGGCCGGCAAGCCCGAACGTCCGATTATCTTCGGTGCCAACTGGATTGCGCATTTTGATCTTGCCAAGCCGGACCCGTCTATGGATGAACGTGACAGCGACTGGGATAAAGACACTTCGCGCTGGCAATGGTAGCTGAGGAGGAAGCAATATTGTTGGTTTGTCCGTTTATTGTGTTAAATTCGGTGACAAGACTGTGGCATTTTATAAGGGAGCCGTCCACTTCTGAGTCCGCATGCCTGTGCTAGTGTCAAAATTCGAGTCCGCGAGGGCTCATAATCCAATATGGTAGAGACTCTGACAAAATGACACCGTCCTGTCTGAAGTACTTCTGTCACTGTGGTAAATCACCGGAGAATACTCCAGTCCCCAAGCTCGACCGAATTCCTCCTTTAGAAGAACAGTCGTATGCTCGTACGTAGTCAAGAACCCATACTTCAAGTGTGAGTCGATCATATACTCCGCAATTTCGCCTATATATACGCGTCAGTGTATATTTATGCCTATTGATAGCTCATAAGACTAACCTGGTACATGCCGCAAATTATCTTGCTTAGCCAGACTTCACGCCCATAAAAGTTCATCAATCCTTTGGAAGTCAATGGGTTTCATGCTCCATCCATCAAAGCCAGAGTCGACGTAAGTATGTCGGTCCTTTTCCAAGAGCGAGGCGGAGACTGCGA